ATTGCCCACAAATATCAGTATTAATAATACATAATATATTTATGATATGGATATGAATCTTAGGTGGAAAAACATTAAAAACAAAAAAGCAAATGATACATACGGTGATGGAGGGTTTGGTTTTAGTTTTAATTTTCTAAAAGAAATTAAAAAAAAATTCCCGTAGTGTTTTTTTAAGAATGAGCTATAGGTGTTTTTTTTTTTGTGAGAAAAATAGAATCACCCGTAGCGCTTTGTCAATCAAATGCCACTGGATGTGCTTAATTTTTTTTTTTTAACCTAATATGTCCTCAAGCCAACTCTAACCCTACCTTCTTTTCCTTTCCTGTAGCCTCCTTGCTCTTTTCCTCTTCTCCACTTCTCTTCTTTCTTTCTAGAAGTCTTCATCCTTTCTTCTTCTCACTCTCACGCTTTCCTTCTTTCTCTCAACCCACCATCTTCTCTATCTTTCTCTCTCATGCCTCCATTCCGCTTGTGGCATTTCGCTCCACTCTATGGCTTTCTTGATCTTGTCACATTCAGGTTCACTCTCAACCTCTTTGCATTCTCACATTTGCATTTGATTGCCGGTATCACTTATCATTCTTTGTGAATCTTTGTGTTTTTGCCCCTTAGTGGAAGATCTGGAAACATAAAAATGTAATTTTTGGAATTGTGTTTATCTTTTTGTTTGATTTCTCGTACAAGTTTGAAATTTTAAGCATCTGTGCGGTTTTTTCTTTCAAGTGCTAAATAAAAAATGTTGTTCTTTGTTGTTGTGCAGGAATGATTTAATCTTTGAATCTTTTTAGGGCGTGTTTCTTTAAAGAGCAAAGATTTCAACATATTATGAGCAAGTATACTCAAATTGAAACATGTTCTGTTTTTGTCTTTTGCTTTTATAGGTTTTTCCTATATGAAGATACTGGAGATTGAAGAGTCAGAAAGAAAGAAGATGAATTTTCACAGAAACCAACCAACAGAATGCCTGGGAGATGAATAGCGGTCTCCTAAAAATGGATTATATATTTTTTTTTTAAAAAAAGCAGCTGTTCCGCTTCTTCAAATAAGCACTACAGCTTATCTTTCTTTTAAAAAAAAAATAAATAAATGCTGCATTGAAAAGCACTACAGCTAGTAAAATTAGCAAACCGTAGAACTAATTCTTGTAGCGTTTTGAAAATGCTACCAACTGAAAAAAAAAAAAAAAAACGCTGCAACTGTATATTGACGTAGCAGTGTTACCTGAGAAACAAAGCTTCTGAATCAAACCAAGTGATCGACTACAAAGATTGGCAGATAGCATTAAGCAGGAAATTTCAGTCCCTGAAACTATGGTTTGTGCTTCGCAGCTATGGCCTGGACAACCTCAGAAACTTCCTCCGAAAGCATGTGAAAATGGGCAAAAATTTTGAAAACCTTGTGAAGCAGGATAAGAGGTTTGAGGTATTTGTGCCAAGGTATTTTTCTCTGGTTTGCTTTGGGGTTTCACCATCAGTGATCATCACCAAGAAACCCTTTCGTAATGGTATTAGTGATCACGAGCTCAATGGGAAAATCATAAACGATGATGATGAACATCTTGTGAACGAAATCAACAGTAAATTGCTAGATTTAATCAACGGTTCAGGCAAAGTGTTTATGACTCATGGTAAGGTTGAAGGAGCTTTTGTGATTAGGCGTGCGATTGGCGCCACATTAACTGAGGAACAACACGTGATTATGGCGTGGGAGACAGTTCAGGAACGAGCCACCTCAATCCTCTCAAAGCTTTTTAATTAAAGCATAAAATTATATTCCCTAGAGAACAAGCATTTTGAACGGTGTCAACAATAATATTGATTTATGTACCTTTGTTATTCTATCTATATCTATGTTGTGTTTGGGGTTTTGATTACACTTGATAAATTATGAAGTTAATTACAGCAATCTTCACATCTAACCAAAGAACTTCAGTTCCTCTCCCAAAAATCGTGAAGAAGACATGCTTCGAGAACTAAAGACATGAAACATTGATAGAAGTCATATTAATAAAAATTAGTTGGCAAATCACATTAGAAACATGTCCATTTTCGCCTTCTTTAGGGTAAAAAGGACCCGATTGAGAGCATGAATATTTTTTGTATATGAGAAATTTTCAACCAGTCTTTCTCAGTAATAAAATTTAATGAGATAAACTTTTTCTCATTTTCTTTTAAATGGAAACTATTTGAGATCACCAAAACACGGAACTAGTTTTAGTGCTCATCACTTTGATAAACACTCTAAGCTTATAAGATCTAGAACGTCTATATCTCATTTGGATGGTCCATATTTAATATTTTTATTTTTATTTATTCAAAATAATTACTTTAATATGTATAGAATCTAAAACAGAAATAATCTCTTAACTATCATTCTTTCAAAAATAGTTTTCTTATTTAAAAATAATTAGTTAAAAATTTTGAATCTAAACCATTTAAATTAGATATAAACAATCCAAATGTTACGAGTTTATAGTGCTCATTAAGATGATGAGTACTGAAACTAATTTTACAAAGACACAGCCATACTACTAACAATCACATAGTTGCAAACTAGAACTAGTTTCTGTGCTCATCGTGATGATGAGTAGTATAATGCTCACCAAGTCTCAACAATTCAAATTTAATGTGGATGGTTCAGATTTAATATTTAATGTTTTTGTTTTTTTAAATATTTTTCTTTAATAGGTACATAATTTAAAATAAATGTAATCTCTTAACTGTAAGTTTTTTAAAAAAATAATTTTTATTTAAAATTTTTAAATTTAAACTATTAAAATTGTATTTGAACGGTTTGATTTTACTACAATGATAACTATCATGCTGCCCATGACGAGCACAGGGATGTTCCTCAGAAACATGGGTCGTAATGGGTTGGCCATATATATAAATATATATTATATATATATATTATATCAAAGCTATACGGTGGCCATAACGTAAATGATGTGCAAATACGTGGCTAATTGTGGGTGGTCTTTGAAAGCTACTTGAGGTCCAATTCTATTCGCATTGAGACCCCAGACTGAAAGTGGCCTCTTCCTACCAACTTTCTACTGCCCACCCTATTAACAGACGTATGGATCAAAATAAATAATTATAATTCTATATAAATATATCCTTCTTTTATTTTACTTAAGGAGAACTGTAATAAAATCTTAAAAAAGTAATATAATCAAGAAACAGGCATTGAGTTGTACCAAACTTAAATGGAAACTATTTGGGAATCCTCAAAAGCACTTAAAAAATACTTTTACACAAGTTGGAACAAAACTCTTTTTATACATTTATCTTGGATTCCGTAAAACAGGAGCTAATCCAAACATCTCTAGCTCTTAGTACCAATCAAATTAAAGCTATAAACATAAAAAAAAAAAACTCACGCCTTGTTTGATTTTGTTTTTAGTTTGAACAAGTTTTGTGGAAAAAAATCTGTTTAGATTATTACTCTAAAAAATTATGTTTGAGAAGATTAAGATTGAAGACTAAAGTTTGACGAGTTTGACTTCGAGAGGCAAAAGTAAATTTATGTTATGCTTTTAGCTGCCTGATTTTATAGGGAAAAACAATTTTATGGATTTATATATATATTTGAATTATAACATTTTAATTAAAATATTACATAAATTTGAATGGTTGAAATTATATAAAACATTTGAAAGCACAGTAGCAACCAACAGAAAAAATTGAAAGCAGAACAAAGCGAGATCAAGAAGGGGAAAAAATCACGTGTTCATATAAAGTCTCTTTCTGGTACATAATCAGTTTTGGTCTGCTTATTGATTTTCTATAATTAATATTCCTTTGGTCCTTAATATAATACCTATTTAACTAATTTGATTTGAATAATCATGTTAAGTAAGTCAATTAATTATAAAATAAGACATGTTTTGTCTAAAATATCATAATCATCTTCCTTAATATCTTTCCCTTCTTCTACTTGATTATGATTAAGGGAGTATCCATAAGATAATTTAGAAAAAACCGATAAATATGAAAAAGAAGTCTCACATTTATGACCAAAATCACCTCAATAATTGGATCATATATTAAGAATCGGAGAAGTAACTCTTTATATGAACTAATAATTTCTTCTAGAAAATACCTTATATTTTAAAATTTCAAAGCAAAGGGATAACGCCTTCTCTTTTTTCCATCACAATAAGGAAGTACAAACAACCACACCCCTTGATCCAACCTCCATTTTTGCAAGAGGTTAACTATTTAGCCGTTCATTAACTGTTAGAGAATCCTACAAATTTGAGAGTGTTTAGACTAACTTTTTATAAGTAATTTTTTGATATATGAAATAAATATCTTAACTTGTACAAAAATGCTTCTGAGAAGCTAATCCAAAAAAGCAATCTCACCTAAAAGCTCACATGGAAAAAATAATAACAATGAACAATGAATATTTATGGAACCCATTAAACAATCGAACTATTAGCAGTCACATGTAGTTTGAAACTTGAGTCCCGGTTTTGCAGTTCACAATGACACTAAAGACATGAACAGGCTTCAAGCAAGTTCTCATAAGCCAATGACGTCTACGTTAAAGCCAATAATAATAACTCAATCTGATCATTCCAAGAAACATGTTATCCATTCGTGTAAATCAAAACCCTATGTCCTTGAAGGGTATTCAACATTGATAGAAGTCATACTCAACATTGATTAATAGAAATGAGATGGCAAATCAGGTTAGAAACCTGTCCTTTTTGGCCTTTTTAGGGGAAAAAAACTAAAGGGCTCAAATTAGAGTAATTATGCTCAAAAATTAGAACCCAAAAGCCTATTTAGTTGAAGAGGAAGTTGGGAGAGGGGCCGAAGGAAAATGATCCTTCCCCTTATTTGTTGAGAAATTTTGAAGGAGGTGGGACTCAAATTAACTCCTATTCAAACTGGGGATTTTTTAGAGGGGAGCTAAAATTCTTGACTGTTTTGTCTTATATTTTTACGATATTCCATTAATGCTCATCAAACATATTATTATAAAATTTATTTCAAATAAAAGTATATTATCATAATTAAAAATTTTAAAATAAATATTATTATAATAAAAACTAATTTAAAATAAAAATATTATTACAATGAAAAATTATCTTGTTATACAATTAATTAATTTTTCAAAATATATGATTTTGTTAAATAAAATATATTTTAAAGCTGGGAAAAGAAAAATCTGAAAGAGAATAAAAATTTTAAATTTTTAGAGCATATAAAATTTCTTAATTTGATTATTTAAAACATATCATTATATAAATTGGACTAAAAATTATTGTACCAATTTTTAATATAAATGTTTATATGATAAGACTAAATTTTTATTAAATTATGTAATTTGAATCAAGATGTAAATTAATTTATATAACATATAAATAAAAATATAAACTAACATGTATAGATAAAATGATAAAATAATTACTACTATCCTTCTCTTCTTCTCCTAAATCAAATAAACATCATTAAATATCTTTCATTCCTTCTTTTGGAAGAAGTGGGTAGTTGGACACTGGATCCCCATCAAAAAACATGTGACGCCGAGTCGGGGTTTGGTGAACCAACGGGTCTCCCCTACTCCCCTCCTCTCCCATCATCCCCTCAAACCAAACAGCCCCTTAAAGCCTTGGCGTCATCATGACGGCATTATAATTGCATCCGACAAGTCACGAGTTGGAAGGGCCAGTGAATGTTGGATATATAGCTTTTATATTACTCTTTCAGTCCTAAATATAAAACGTTTTTTTTAGTATAATTTATATTACAAAAGAGATTTTATTTTTAAAACCGAAGAAATGTTATTAAAGTTAATATCGACAGTTATTTCAAAAATATCATAGTTGCATGAGTTACGGTAAAAATAATTCTTATCAGATGAGACCTCATTTTCATTCTATTTATTTGGGATTGAGACCCCAAACTGAACAAATTCCAACCACCTCTATATTTACACCGCCTTAGCTTTTTGATAATAATGCAAGGCAGAGTATCGTTTGCCTCTCTCTCCCCCCTTCCTCTCTCTCTCTCTCTCTGATGTAAGAACTAGTAAAATATCCTCTCTCTGTCTCTTATTATAAAATCCAACTTTTTAAATGGGTTTATCTCTTTCTATAAGATCTTTTTTGAGTTTGTCTAGGCATTTAATCATTATTACCTATTTTGCCTAATACATTATTACCTATTTTGCCCTAGTTTAATGCATTTAATACATTCTCTTTCTTCATTTATCTCACTATTACTCTCTACATCCACCATATTTATATATATGGGTATATTTGAAAACAAAATTGTATTTGGTACATATTAATTTTAACTAATTTTAACTGTTTTCTTAAACCGCATAATTTAGTTAAAAGGATCTTATAATAAAGACGGAATAATAAGTTGTATAAAATTAAGAAAATTTGGTACGCCATTTGGGGAAAAAAGTTTGCTGGTTTTTTAAGAATAGTTCTTTCACTACTAAAAACTAGTCAATTTTTCATCTATTCTAGAGACTTTTTTTAGTCTATTCAGAGAGAAACGTTGACAGAGAAACTTAAACAATAGTTACATATTCATATGTTTAGAACAAAGGAATATGATTCACCCATATTCGTCTATTCTGAAAAATAGACAAATATGTATGGAACAAAATCGACAATTATGAGTGGCTCATACACGACTGCTACAAGAAATTGATGAGTATAAGCTCCCATGCGTATCAGTTAGGACAAGTCAGACAAGTATTAAAGCTTTTTTTTCTGATTTTCAAAACAG